TCGCGTTCGCGTACGAAGGTGAGTGAATATTTCCGAACCCTGGTTTCAACCATTAAAATTGTCTCAAGCTATAGCATTTCGTATGCACGACTGCAATTAATCGATTGCTTCAGCAAGCAATACAACCGAAAGGATATTGAGAGATAAGAAACAGATAACTTTTCAAATTGCATTGAACTGGTTAAGCAACGACTTTAACGACGTCATCACAAGTGTAGCGCAATTGAATTGCGGGCAACAATGAAAATAATTTGTTGCCTGAAATAACTGTGGCTTTTACTACTATATGCAGTTGAATGCATTGTATTGCGCAATACAGCAATACAGTGTGTGCGTGTGCGCTTGTGTGCGCTTGTGTACGTGCCGTACTTCACCGTTTACCTGTAAATTGTCACTGCATTCGATTCTTCGCTTGTATTATCCATATTGTTGTTGTTGTCATTGGTATTGGCCCCCACACCAATTGCACCGCCACCACCTCTACCAGCACTCGTTGCTGTTGCTGCACCACCTGCCAGCCCGCTGCCCATAAAAACGGCGATGGGCGCATTGGCGTTGGCAGCATTTGCTGCCTGGACGTTGGAGACGGCGGCGGCGGTGGCGGCGGCAACATTCGAAGGTATTACTGTTATATTAGCGTACGTCGGCATATTATAGTTGTTGGCGGCGGCGGTGCTGCTGCTGCTGCTGCTCATGGCAGCGTTGATGTTGGCGTGCGCGGCAAAAGCGGCAGCGGTGGCACTGGTCATGACAGCGCTCGGTGCATGGCCGTACGTGTGCGACGACGGATGGGCATGAGCGCTGGCAATGCCAATGCTACCATTCAGTATGCTCAGATTGCCGCTGCTCAAAGCGGGCGGTGGAGGTGGTGGCGGTTGTAGTGGCGGAAATGATAAGATGCCGCCACTAAAGTTGGCAGCGCTGCTGTTGTTCAGATTGACGGCGGCGGTGGCGGCATGCGCATGTGGATTATTAGCTGTTGTTGCTGTTGCTGTGGTTGTAGTCGTGCTGCTGTGGCTGCTGCTCGCATGCGTTGTTGTTGAATTGTTGTCATCAGATGCGGTCAACACCATGACGGCGGTTTGATTTTGTTGTTGTTGCTGCAACTGTGAATACTGCTTTGTGGCGATTTTGGTGGCTATTGGCATTTTACGGAGATGCCGCAAATGAAGAATGCAATTTTTTTATGATTGCTGTGGTTTTTATCTTATGTTTTATTTTTTATTGCTGCTGTTGTTGTATGGTTGTATTTAATAACCTTTATTGTTGTATTGTTTATAGTTGTCGGAAAATTGGATTTACAAATTTTTCTAGGTTTTCGTGGTTTTATTTTTTTGTTTATTAGTTGCTGCTGTGTTTTTACTTCGGCCATTGTTTACGCAAACTGACAGGCCATAAAATTTGCATGGTTATTGGCGGATGCGTGCGTACTTTTGGCGAATGGCTGGGCGCGGTGATGTGTTTATGGTGTTAACAATAGGGTGGTGTGGTATGTAGAGTGAAGCGCGCGCTGTGTAAAAAGTGCTGTAGAGTAGATTTGACAGCCAAAAAATTTTTTTGTGAATTTTCGTTTGACGTTTTTTAATTTTTACGTTTATTATAACTTTCACGCGGATTTTTTGTGGAATAATAAAAATGTTGCTCCAATCGGTAAGTATTGCTTTGAATTTTGTTTTTAATATACAAAATTAAGATGTTTTGTTAATGTTTTATTTCTTAATTTTTATTTTTCCTACGTTTTATTTATCATGTTACGCAGTTTTTTTTTAATTTTTTGTCTGCGCTTTTGTTATCTAGTTAGTTCAACGAAAGAAATTGTGCCACCGCTGTTTCATTGCTAAAATTCATTTGCATTCATAATTTGGTTTCTTTTTTAAGATTAAAAAAAATTGTTTTTTTTTCAATTTTATTCAAAATAATTTAATACCACTACTTCCATTTTAGCGTGCAGTGTTTGTTTGTTATTTATTTAATTCAGTGGTTTTAAAATACATAGACGCGCTTGTATTTAGATTAGTAAATACATACATACATACTTCACTGACGTTATTGCAACTTTTTTTTTGTCAAATTTATTGCATTGCTTTCGCGCTATTGTCTGATTCTGTCATTTGATTTGCATTGCTTTCCATACAAATTATTATGCTTGAAAAAGTTTTTAGCCGCTAATTGAACTCATTGAAAATTGTTTGCAGCTCAACTCATTGTTCATATTTATTTAATATTTTTTTGTTTTGTCTTTTTTTCAAATAAATATTTTTATTACTCAGCTTTTTTTTGTAAAACTCTTGCGTGCTTTCATTAAAATAAATTAAATACATATTTTTGTGGCTTATTTTAGCGTTCGATTATTTTATGCCTACTTGTTGTTGTGTTCATTTATTTATTTATTTCTAGGTTTAATTGAGCAAATATTGATTGTGTTTGTTTTCAGAGTATTATAAATATTGTGTTAGTAGTGGAAAATACGTAGTTAAACTGCACTCCAACGCAGGCTTGCTTAATTTTCTTTTGTTTTTTTTTTAAGTTTTTTTATTAAAAGCTTGGCTATTTTGTGTAAATCAATTATTAGTTACTTTGTGAGCTTTTGCTTAAATAAATTTTATTTGTCTACGTTTGATTTCACTTTCTTCAAATTATGTTTAGCTGAAATATGAAAGTTGTTGTTCCTCTCTATTTAGTTATTATTTTTAGTTTTTTTGTTGTACCATTTTCACTAAAAAATTTATTTGCTAATATTATGGTTTCACTTTTTATAGAAATGATTTGCGTGCTTTGAAACTTTTTTGCTAAAAATTTTTATTTTGTTTATTTATCACTTTCATTTGTTAAATTTGCAATATTAGACCCCTTTTGGCTAAGTAATTAAAACTGGCATTTTTTCCAACGCCACTCATTGTTGTTGTACTTTAATAGAATATGTACTTAAACTATGACGATTACTTAGTAAGCATTAAATAACTAAAAGTTTGTTGCATATTTTAAGGCAGTTTCGCTTGTTTTCTTTTTTATCGCTTTGTTTGTATTTTTTGTTTTTGGTCTCCGTTTTTTTTTTCTACTCAAATTTCTTATTTCATAACAGTTGAACTTTCGCTTGAACTTTGCTTATTTGCTCATGTACGGTTTTTCTTTCCTTTGTTTAATGCTCGCTCTCCTGCAAGAGAAGTGCTTGGCTTAGTATGTATGACTTTCAAAGCATTCTGCTTGCCGCTTTTAATTCCACTTTAAGCTTAGCAGAGTTTATGTTGGTTGCCGTTGTGTGTGTGTGTTTTCTATGCGCTTGCTACTGCGACTATTTATTTCTAAATCTTGTTTTTTTTTATTTCTTACGCTCTTTTTCTCCACACAAAGTTGTTGGCTGCTGGCACACAGCAGGGAAATTACAAGGAAATGAGAAAATGTAATTTATGTACTATGTTGCAAAACAGTTTATTGCACATTTTTATAACTTGCCATAGTGGATTTGCGAATCAAAGTAAGTTTGCTAAGCACTTAATTGCATAAATACATAAGCACTTCTGAATGGCAGCGTGATTTAGGTAGAAAGTAAACATTTTTCAAAGAAAAAAAATGATGCAATATGTTTTTCATAACTTTGAGTGCGCATAAAATGTAAGTGCAGACTAAAGAAATATGTTTCTCGTATTGAGACCAAACCCCAAGGAAGTTTTAGCTCACCCCATTTTTTTCATGACCTCAAGTTTCAAATGCTTAAAGCGCCATTGGGCGTGGTTGGAATGTATGAAAAATTAGTAAACCCGTATGCCGTTAAAACGCTAAATCACTGGTCAGGAAAATGCACATAGCAGGAGAAGTTTTCAAAAATTACGAAAAATTGTTCTTGCATCAAACCAATTCAATATTTAGTGGATGTCGGCCCTAACCAAGAATACCTTTAAACTAAAGTTTTTTTAAAACAATTTTTTCTGGTCGTCAATATGGAAATATTTCGGATAACTTCTGTAATATTATTTATGTTCGACTTTTCAAAGAGAGGGCAATTTGCTTCGAAAATATATTCAAACTGAAACGCTTTCGTTTGACACCTATATTGTGATACATTGGTATGTACTTCAATTACCTTATGCATTAATTCGAATCTTATTTTTAAAACAGGTGTCAAACTCTCTTCAAAGATCTTAAAAAAAAAACATGTATATAATTGAACAAAATTTGAATTTTTAAAATATGTTGCAACCTTAAAAACTTCTAAAAACTCTTTCGTTTGAGATTGTGAGACATAAATATTTGAAATAAATGAGGAAATATTTTGAATTTTACTGTTTAAACAGTTGGTAACCCTTCTACATATCGTTTAGAAATAAAGCCTTTTCAAACTCACTTCCATTAATATCCATCATTAATAATTTATTTAAATAATAAATAATTGAAACAGGTGGCAACTCTCTTTAAACACCTCAAGCGCATTTAAAATGTTCAAACTAAGTCTTTCTTAACTCTCTTATTTTTGCCACCCGTATTTTATTATTGTGTATAAATTTTTTTAATTGCACTTTTTTCTCAAATAGGTGGCAACTCTCTTCAAAATATTAAAAAAAGCCTTTAAAATCCGCTTTCGCCTGACAACCATATGTGATTTCCCTTAATTCATGTTGAATTCGATTTTCAAACAGGTGGCAACCCTCTTACATAAAGTTTAGAAATAATGCCTTCTCAAAACCCACTACCAGTGGCACCCTTTTTGTAATAATTTATTTCACTTATTAAATAATTTTAATTTAATTTTTTAAAGGTTGGCAATCCTTTTCAAAAAATAAATCCCTTCCGCACATTCACAGGCCAAGCCCATTAATTTGACACCTCATTTTTGACAATCCAACGATCGCTGCTGACCAGATCACATACACGGAAAATGCATTGCTTCCACCCACATAGCTACATACATAGCTCCAAAACGCCCGAAGTTTACTAAGCATTTTTATTAAAGAAATTGAAGTAGGTAGTTGTTTTGAAGCCAGTGAGGGGAAAGTATGTAATAATTTTCCGCCTAGCTGTAGAGCTTTCACAGCCGTAAATTCCTTCAAATCATTATCTTGAAATAAGTTTACGCAACAGCAACTTGTATGCTACTTTAAAGAGGATTACAATTTTATCTACATACGTAAACAGATTTAAAAGGATTCATTTTCTCTGCAGAAATACCTTAGTATAAACATAAACTAACCAAAGAAGGAACGATTTAATACTTGCACTACGGGTATGCAAATAAGAAAAACACTTCACATATTCATTTTAATTAGCAAAGAAAAAAACCTAAGTATGTAGTTCTCTTTTTCCTTCCATTTCCCATTCCAATTTGCGAAAAATTGCCGCTCCCACATCCAGTGGATATTCGGAATGCACACACTTTTAATTCCAGAATATCCCTTTTTACATTTTTACCGATTTTTCCATTTTTACTCCTCATCAAATAGATTAATTAAGGTATGTATATGGCAAGCAAAAATAGCTGAGCCATAAACAAAATATTCCCAAAAAAAAAGGATTGGAAAAACTCACACTAGCGACTGAAAAATGGCACCAAAGGCCGTTCGACAAGAACAAAAAAAATTATATAAAAGATGAGAAACCAAAAGACAAAAATAAATAAAGCAATCGATGCTGCTGAGTTTTGGGGCCACACAATTTGTGTGTCGCTTTGCAGCTGGCCTTACACTGACCTAACTCTGCTGCTCCCCGCCATCGCTCAAAATGCTGCAGAAACCATTTAGAGCACAGCAGCTTTGGGGAATTGCAATGAAAAGTGCATGGCACAATGCAACGAATGGATGTAGGTATGTGTATGTAGATTTGTTTGTATGTGTAAATGTACATATATATATAGTATACCGCCTGCCATCAATGATGAGCATTTCACAAAACTTCAAAGCCAGATTTTATGTTTGCCACAAGTAAAATAAAAAAAAGAATTTTATTACATCCAAAAAGTAAAATAAATATTAAGTACAAATTTGTGTAGTTTAGTATTTTGAATTTAAAATGTTCTATTGGAATACTTATAGATGCTTCCAGAAAATTTTATTTAATATGGCGTTGTCACTTTATTTAATACGACTGTATACCTTTGAACCACTTATAAATACATATATATGTAGATATGCCAGTATGCATCTGCACGTGTGGTTTG